AACTGGGTGCAGGTCCAGAGAGTAGGATTATAGAAAATAAAGAATGAAGGACTGATAGACTGGCCTTATGAGGCAGATCAGACTGGTCGTTACAGATTCCACTGAAAAAAAAATGAACAACAATTTACTGAAAGTAGGATTTAAGTCCAATGTCCAAACACAGTGCATAGCTCTGTCACCAGATAACATCAAACCACAGCTGAGCTAGACTAGGGCATGAGTGAACAAAAAGTAGAAAAGATAGCTGTATTCAGCAATGTGTCCTTGTTTTCTCTGTGTCAGTCTGACTGACCACAACTGGGGCTGCAACCAACTAATTGATTAATCGATAATAAATAATTATGAGAATAGCTATCAACTATTCTCATGATCAGTTAGTTGGTTGGATCCCCTAGCTTTCTCCTCCATGCTAGGAGGAGGGCACAGCAAGCAGTGGGCAGGCGCAATAGCCAGCCTGCTACTGGCTATTGCCATTTGAAATGGCCACTAGCAGGGTGGCTATTGCAGCAGCCCACTACCTGCTGTATTTACATTCAGCTTCTGTCTGCGGAATCTTGCCACTGGCAGCTGTCATTCCCTGGCTGAAGCTTTTCAAGCGTCATGTGCTTACAATACAATTATTAAAAAAAAAAAAAAATTATAAAAAAGGTGGGAAAAAAGTCATTTTCGGTTTCGGCAAGGAAAATTCTGCTGCAGGAGGTGCTTTGCAGTGCTATTCATTTCAATGGCACACCAAACGCGCCTCCCACCCACAGCATGATTGCCCGCACTGGAACGCATGGTACTGCAATGCCATAAAATTGTGCATGCAGTTTTATTCTGAAGTAAACTTTGTAACACTGCATTTCTGTATTTATTTTCAAATATTGAGTTGTTTTTTTTTATCTAGTTAATCGAAAAAATAAAATCGGCCAACTAATGATTATGAACATAATCATTAGTTGGAGCCCTAACGGCAACATATCCAAAGAGAAGTGAAGAATGTGGAGTCGAAAAGCAAGATTTCACAAAACAATAGCTGAAGACAGAGAGCTATCAGGAAATCAGAAAACTTGGTCTAAAGCTGGATATACATTGTTAGATTCGCAATTTATTAACAAAAAACAAACAAATATAAAACTGTACATTCCCTTTAACACAGAAAATACGATCGAACAACTGTCTAACTATGGGCTTGGATTATTGGCACGTCTGAGATCAGAAAATCCTATTATGAAATCGTCTGAATTGTTAAGAGTTATGTATCAATGGGTCATTGGATAGTTAACCAAATGGCAAACAGAGGCCTACATGGAGGAAAAAAATTTTAAAAATCGAGGAGCGCTGCTCAGATTGAATCGTTATTTAGGACTTTGATCTTCGGACAGTACACCATTGCAGTGAATGGTTGACAAGAGTGAAACAATAGGCTGTTCAGCAACACCCATGCGTTTGTGTTTGTGGTTTTGGTATTCCTCACAACCAACTTTGAAGGAGTATCAGGCCAGGTACACACTTGGGCGATCCCAGGACACATGCCCCGGGACCGCGTGTTCGTGTGCAGTTGCACACAGCGTTTGCCGTCTCATTGATTATCAATGGGGTTATATCCGCGCGGCAATCACATAGCTGAAAAAAAGGTAAATGTACATTTTTTTCGTGACACGCAACGTGTGGTTGTTTCAGCCGCGATCGTTCACGATTGCATGGGCGGGAAACAGTGTGATCTGCCTGCCAGGACTAGGGTGCCATTAGAAAAGAATGGCACCGCCAGCGCAATCAGCGGTGGTGTGTAATTCTGTGACCGCGCGGCAATCCGTGCGGTTTCATGCATGATTGGCACGTGGTCACGGATCCCCCAAGTGTGAACCTGGCCTATTAATACTGAAAATTAGACTGGGTTAAGCTATGCCGTCATTGGGGCATTTATGGTCCCGAACTGTACTTCAACTTTATATGAACATTCAAATATGAATAGCAAATTGTATAATTCACATTTTATTAGACCCACATTCCTTTTTTTTCCAAATTAAGAATTGCACAAATGATGAGAAAATGTACAATCTGTAGCCTGCCCCTGACTGTTACACTCATGTGATAATGCACAAAGGGCAGAGTCTGATATATGTAAACTGGTATAGAATGGGACAGAGCACCCTACAAATGCTGTTCTCACGACCTATACATGTACTATGAACAACACATCAATTAAATCGAATCCAAACACTGACTTTTTTTTTACATCTGAAAGCTTTAGCAGGGACTTGAGAAAATCAGGCCACTGAATCCTATATACAGGTTTAAAACATGTAGAAATGATGTTCAGGGTATATCAAGTCTCCAGACAGTGATAGAACCTTTTGAGAAGTCAGCCATTCACTGCATATAGTGTTCCTTCAAGTCTCAACTACAATTCACATTGTGATTGACAATCTCCATTTTGCAAGTTGTGGTTGTATGCGTCCAGCTATGGGATGTAGGCAACGTTGCATGGAACTAACTACTTGAAAGCACTTGTCCACAAATGATCAATATAAATTAATGCAGATTATAAAACCTTCAGAAAACTTCAGCAACTGTGTTACCTAGTCTAATATCTGGAAGCTGGATGCTTCTATTGATGTCAACAGTTTGCATGCTGTACATTAGATCCCATGTGGTGCTACTCACACAGATTACAGTTTTACATCTTACATTTATGTCCACAGAAGCTGCCACCTGCAGTTCACATATGGTCTTATCCAATAAAGAGTTCTTACGCATAGATACCAATTCTTAACTGCAGCAACCAGAATCCATCTTCTTCTGGTCTAACACCAACTGAGTAAATTCTGATGCGTTGCTATGGACTATCATCTCACTTCATAAAAACTCTTTACTGAGTAAGGCCAACCCCATAGTTTCCAACTGTTTATTTCCAGGGACAGTCCCAGGAATAAAGATCTATCATTGTAAATTGTTGCCCCTAGATACTTACCAAATGTGCAGAAACATCCCTAGTGATTTAAATGCAGTAGAATTTAATTTCAGAGTCTTGACATATTGAGGAATGTGGTAGGCATTTGTCATTCCTTGGCAATATTGCACACATCAAATCCATAGAACAGCAATAGGGTTAGCAGTTTACCCC